TGCAGCTGAGCCAGGGACCACACCCCCGCCACAGATATATTTATCAATCAATAGATGCAACCAGTGCTGGTCAAGCACTACTCCTGATTAAAAATACGTGTTCACTAGATACTTTTTCTTTGTGTAACAGACTAATATCTAGGATACAAAATAGTAATTGACCTTTCAATTTCATAGCCCCCAAGAAAAGATAAAAGTTGACAAGAAACATCAAACAAAAGACTACAGGGTGCATGATTCAGGTGACTGAACAAAAAAGACTGGGTGATGAAAGCATCCCACCTACAAAAAAGTCAGTGCATATCAAAAAGAAAATTGTTATCATATGCTGTATTTACAGCATAAATACAGCATATTTTACTATTAGTGGGAAACGAAGGGGATTAGTCTGAACACTGTATTTCCTTCGTTTGGCCATCAGATGGCAGTGTTGTGAACAGAATGCACATCTCAGTAAAAGCCTCCCAGACATGTGGTGCTAGGACCCATGAACACACATGAGTGAGCACACACACATTCGTTGGAGAGGAGGCGGAGAAACAGCAGAGGGGAGAAAATGACTGGAGGAAGGACAGACAGGAGACAACAGAGGAAACAGCTGGTACACAGTCACCATGTTATAACCTCAGGCTGCTTTGTGACTGATGGCAAGTTTTCCCAAGACAAACACACACATGCTGATTTTCTGCAGCCACGTGATGTCATTCTCACTGATATGTGGAGCATGCTCTTTTATGGCGAACGACAAGAGAACAGCGCACAATAGAAGTGAGCTTAAGTGTCGTCGATTTGCTGTTCAGAAGTGAAGCTGGCAATCATCAGCCATCGATTTCTCGCCTAACGCTTTCAGCCGTGAACAACAGGACAGAAATCTTCGACTTCTCAAAAGAAGCCCAAACAATTGTTGTTGACTTTTCTTTTTTAAGCGACAGAACTTCAGCAAAGGTGAAAAGAGGCTGTCGGGGTTTATTCTGAGAGTCTGTTTCCCAAACAAACATAAAACTAAAGAAAAGAATAAAAAATATAAAAACTGATCCTCTTTCAGATGTTCTTAATAAACCTTTTGTTTTCTTTTTTTGATTTTTTTTGTCATTAGTAGACTTCAAATTCCCATTTAAAGACCAGATAATTATAGAGTTTCAGTCTTAATGAAATGTGGCATCGATGAGATGCTCATGAGACCAGTTACGGCTTGGAAATGTGCAGCTGAGGAAAAGATAGACGCAGAACTAGAGGCAGCTATAGATCCTGAGACTTGCGTTGGGAGTGACAAGGACGGAAAGGAGAGGTGTTGTTTAATTAGCTTGGACACATGGAGAGGACAGATACTGGGTATACTGGGAGAAGGATGTGGAAAAGCGAGTTAGAATAGAAGAAGACCGAAGGTAGTTACGAGATGCGGTGATGGACGACATGCATGCAGGTGTAGTTTATATAAAATAGAGGTGTCACAGCACCCATTATTTTATGAAGCCTTAGTGTTTGAAGATTTGCTTTATTTTCACTTCGCTTTTTGAAACAAGATCAGCAACAAACATGAAAAGGGCTGAAAATCCAAAGATATATAAGCTCATCTGGCCATCGCTCATCGATCACAAGGCGGGCCTAAAGCATGCCCTCCTTTATTGACCTAAATAAAGGTCAAGGTCACGGGAACTGGAACTCATCAGACGCTTAGTAAATGCACCTATGGGGTGAATTTGAAAATCCTATGTCACCAAGTTATCACATTCACAGACACACTGGGTGATAACACATGATATATATTTATAAAAGGGAAAATAATAAAAACATATATATAAAAAAACAGAAAAAACAATGCGTATTAATGCAAATTCTATCATAATATGTGTTTCATGCACAGATTTGTGTGTTTGACTCGTGCCGATGCATAAACGTGTTCCTCCTTGGCTTGGCGGCATTCCTATGACATCATGTGTCCAGTCAGCACTCCACCATGCTAAGCTGGCATCTGCGAGGTGAAGCTCCCTCATGCACGAAATAATAAAAAAAGGAAAGAGAAACAGGAAGGTGATGTCATCGTATCGGCTCATAGTAAGAGAGAGAGTGACTTCAAGCAAAACTAAATCTCAGCAACTAATGGACCGTCCGAGGAAACTGAGCAAAAAACGTCACCCGGCCTTCCTGCAGCGACACGAGGAGGTGATGTCACCTCGTTGGCTGCGCTGACTCTTAAAGCACAACTGAGACGCTAAGCTCATTAAAACAAAATCCTGCTGGACCCTCGGACAAAGCAGCTCTGTTCTTCATGCTGTCGATCCACGTTTGTTTTTAATAGATTGAATTTTTCCTCCTACATGTTTTCTCAGTGCTTCGTTTTAACACATTAGGAATACCGACCACTGATCAGTGTAAATCATTTACAGATATCCATAGCGGTACTTGCATGTGCACATTTAGAGCTTAAAGTGAGATTTTAGTCTAACAAAGGTAGTTTTATTTTTACTGTCATTACTCTTTAGGTCACCGTACAAGCAAATAACGTGGTCTGCAGTATTTTACGAGTTTACAGCAAATTTAAAATCAATGTCACAGTCTCACTCAGTCTTTTACAAGATGCTCTAAGTGAGAAATAGATTAACTGGTAAAGGAAAACTAAAATCATAAAGGAAAATGTGACACTGCTCGAACAAACACTAATGTGCTTTCCACATCTCCCTTATCGGGCTGCGGGACAGCATCTGAACTGAATGCACAGATGTTTAATGTACCAATTTTACATTTGCAGGGCTCTAACGTGCAGCTGTCACATTAGACATAAACAGCAGCACTGAGAGTGCACCGAGTGCATATGCTCCTTTTATTTCACAGTTTTCTGACAGATGCTCTCTTGGCTATTTTGCAGTATCTGTCTTGATTTTGCCTGCTATCGCCTATCCTCTGATAACATCTGACTGAAGCAGGCAATCGCTCCTTTTGGGGTTTTTTTTAAAGAAGTGAAACAACACATTTAATGTGTGTTTCTGTGCACAGAGACTGAAGCAACAAACCTGAGTCAACAAAGAGGGATTGTTACATATTATTGCTGAATTGGGTTTTTAGGTGTTGTTGAGCCAGTAAACTAAAAAAAAAAAAAAAAAAAGCCAGGCTATGCCAAACATGGTGTACACCCCTCAGGTAAATATCAAGAAATATTCAAAACCTAAAAAAAAAAAAAAAACCCTTTGCTGTCAAGACATAAGATAATCTAGCAGCTTGAAAGTGCTACACAATACGCATAAATACTAGGAAATGTAACTGATTGGGAGCAGGTTGTTCAGAAAATTGATGTAAAAAGAAAAAACCATTAAAAACTAACAAGGGTGGATGAGAAGATGTATTAAAGATTTAAAAGGA